AAGGAAACATATGAAACTTTTAAAGGCAGTGGGGTGGCCAAAAAAAAGGGTCCAAAATTTAAAAAAAAAAAAAAAAAAAAAAAAAAGGTCCCTTTCAGACTTAGCAAATCACTGCATTCAGGGCAATCACATAGCTTTTGTCGTGACTATAATATTCAGGTATGCTTGTTACAAATTTCATTGTGCAGGACGTTCTATAAAACAGCCCATACAATCCCATCTTCCAGCTTAAGGTTTCATATATCGTTCCGAGTACAACCATAAGCACCTCCAGGTAGCCCCTGCACCTTAGACCCATATATGTGCTTGCAGCTTTTCCTCGTTTTCCTTCCCCCCAGCATGAAGCAACTTCCCTAGCAGTCATCACCAACCGTGCTGGTCAACAGAAGTAACAGGACCAGTAACATCTAAATGCGTCTTTACAACTCAAGCTACTGGAGCACCCCTCAAGCTCTGCTACCCACACTTTTAAATCCTGCCGACCGGGCAAATAAACCCTGAGGTTTACATAGCAACCACTGAGATACGCGACCAAAATGACTACTGCACAAAATCAGCAAGTGCCTCTTGGCCAACCTTAAAAATACCTCTTGAAATCACATACAATCATGCTAACCTAGAAAATGCCAACCTACAAAAATACTCCTCTAAGCTCTTACTATTTGAACTGCAATAGTAACTTTCAGCCCCTTTCCACGTTAAAACCTTGACACACCTTCCCGGGCAGTTAACAACGTTAGCAATTAATAAATCCTAGATTTTAAAAGCAGACTGTCATTTCTCCAACCAGCCTAAAACATAATCAAAACCAGATTTAATCTATGTGAACTACAATGAGCAAGATTAAGCTTGGACATTCACAGTCTGTTCCCTACCTCTTTCAGGCCGGAACAGAGCGCCTTAAAAATGATATTTTAACAAAGTTTGGTGAACTCAACAGTAGATGGATGGGGCAAAATTTTAATTCTGTCTCTTCCCTTTCAGATTTGAAATTTACCCCCCCAAGGCTACATGAAAACTTGGTGAAGATGAGAACAAGTCAGCCTTGTACATCAGCCTCCCCATCAAGGAGAGCATCCCCGCTGCAGTATTCTCCCTGACACGATATTGGACATTCAGCTGGTTTGATAGGTTTGTGATGATGTAACACTGGAAATTATGGATGAAGAACCAGACTTGGTAAAATTACCAACAGGTAAATGCACCTAAGAAACACAAACGTATCCATATAACAGATCTTGAACAGTTTTAGATTTTCGAAGGGGTACAAGAAACATAAGATACTTCTCCCTCTCATCCCTTACAAGAGATCCTCCAAAATCTTCAATTAAACGTTATGAACTGCAGTAGTTTGGAATATAATCAGCTTCTCTTTTCTAGTGCCAGACATTAAACACTCACTGTTCCTGCCACTCGCAATTTGAAACTCTCCAGTAAAATTCAAGTATGGTGCGCTTGTTTCTCTTCCATCTCTTATTGTGCACACCCCTTGGAGCAATTATCATATCATTTCAGTACAACGCATCATGTCTCAAACAGTAACAGCAACACTCAATGAATTTACAGGTCTCTGTAAGGAAGTGAAGGGTTCACCATCATTCATTTTTGCATGCATTTGCTATACATTCAGAATGTTTTAAGAATAGCTACTTAGCTTGCCTGTGTGCAAGACCACCTATGTAAGAAGTTTTACCATATATAGTTTCTTCTCTATTTCACTGTGGTTTATACCGACTCTTTCACTTCCTACTGAGTCATCAAACAGTAAGAACTTGTACGTGTAAGTATTCTTGCAAATGAAAAGAATGAGGAAGCTCACAAACAGGTCACGTGACAAGTTTTAAAATGAATACTAATATTCTTATCAGGTCTCCGTGCTTGATTCTTTCCATTGATGCAACTCTCAAACAGAAACCCTAAACACAATTAGAGCACTTTTACAGGCCAGTAAGTAACTTACCATTTGCCCTATACCAATAAGAACATCCCTCTCTAATGCTTTAGACCTTTAAGATGCCATTGCGTGTCTCTCTGCTACACTACATGTTGCAAGAACTTCCTTCCAGTCACCTCTTCCTCAAAGACTGGTTGCAGCCAGATACACCAGAAGACCTACTGCAACATAAGAACAGTAAATTTCAAAGAAAAGCCTAAAGTTAAAATCGCATCCGATTTGTCTAAAGATATTCTCCATGTTTATGTAATATTTCTGGCACCTGGCAAGAGATTTAATTTCAATCATGGTTTTAAGTATGACATATCACAGCGTATCAGAAATCGCTCTGACATAAAGCATCTCTTCTTTGTCACATACAGAAAAAATATTAGTATAAAAATACTGGTTTGACAATATAGGACTACTTGATAATCTCAATGTGCAGTTGAGGCTCGAAAGATTTATTGAATGGAATTTTCTTCCAGTTTAATTATCCCAATTCAACCTAAATATTTTGAGTTTACTGATTTAATAATTATTTCTTGATACTTTGCTCTCCCACACAATGAACTCTGTGGCCAGGGTACTTCCATACATGTGTTGTTCTGCTTAGAGGCCGAACACAACCCAAAGCAACGCAAGCTGAAACAACACAGGCCCCTCCTCTCGGCACCGCAACGGCACTATGAAGGCACCTTCCACTGTTATAGTTATTTATATCCTGCTGGTACAACTCACAGAGGGAAAAAATGTACCATTCCAAGATGTCTCTTGATTTAAAAGCACACACAGATACATTACGCTGTACAAAAGCTGTGTTGCAAACCCAGCTTGGGAAACGGGGTAAAAATAATGGCTTCTACCCCACGCCTCACGCCTTACTGAGACCGGCCAAAGCACAACGCTGCTGTTGCTACCGATATACTAAACATTTTACAACTCAATGACTTATTGTGATGTAAAGGACCACACTAAAGGATGAAGCTCTAAAATTTTTTTTGGATATGGGCCTGACAAGAAGAGTATTAAACAATGAAAAAAAAAAACCAAACCCAAAAAAGCTTCTACATCCCTTTGTAAGAAGAAAATGGTAAATGCCTTCTTTTTTTCTTTCCTTTTTCTAAATGATACTGTAAATATCGCCAAAGGCTCCAGACCCCAGCCTTATTAAAGATAATTTTTGCTATAGGAGGAAAAATGAGAAGACATCAGAACTGTCAAACCCCAGACCTGTCAAATATGTTCTTCCTGAACCATTCTAATCATTTCAGATGCTAATTGGAAAACCCTCTAATTCAGGATGCTGAATCCCTAACAGCATCCTTTGTCTCAACTATTCCCTCCTGGGCTTTAAAAAAAAAAAAATCTTTATTCCAAGTGTTTATATAAAAAAAAAAAACCCACTTATTTTTTTTGGCATTCAAGAGGTCTTTACACACTGTCAGCTGTGTTAGCTCTCCACATAGTATTTCTTTACTGGGGGAAACCTTAGATTTCTAAACAAAATTACCACGGGGAAATATCCACCTATAACATCTTATCTGTCTGCTTTAAAATGGTATCTTTTTCACTTCCTGTCGAGGCGCCTCAAAGCCTGCGCACCGCTGACAAAAGGATGAATTTCTAGTGGGTGCCTGCACGCTTCACGGAGGGCGGAAAAGGTGAAAGGATGGGGAGAAAACCTTTGGGGGTCTCTTGATTAAAAAAAATGCCAATTTTGAGCATGTTGCAGATCAGGAAGGTGTTAACGAAAGGATGACGAGCAGCTGCAAAAAAAAAAAAGAACAAACAAAAGAAAATTTTCCCTAACACTAGTAATCCTGCATACAGAGGACACATCCCTGGTGGCTCAACGTGTAATGCGGTCATTCAGAATTTTTTAAAAAATCGGTATTTTTGTTTCTGTGCTCGTTGCTCCAGAGAGACTTGCTCCAGTCTTGTGCAGAAATCAGACATTCACGGTAAAAGAGCAAAGCGGGGGGGGGGGGCACAGCACAATACCCGCGCACCAGAGGCGGCACCGAAGACCCCCGGCGGTAGATTTTGCCTCAGCCGGTTGAGAAACAAGCGAACAGCGGGCAAAGCGCCGGGATCGGCGTTCTTCCGCGCCCAGCTCCCCCCGCCCATTCATTCCGGAGGCCCGCACCGCCCTCCCGTACCGCGGCGGC